GCCGCGACAAGCGCTGACCGCCGCCGCCGCGTCCGCCTCCTAAACATTAACTTCTTGATTTTATTATGTATCAAGACCTGCTTGTACATGTTAAAAATGAAAAACGTTCATCTTTGATATTTCGAGGAAGACATACATGTAAAAACGACAGTGTAGTTAGTTATTCTATGCTAGCTATCTTAACTCAAACACGACGATGTCGAAATCGAAGCCCGGACATTTACACGCAAACCCGGAAAGGTGTGCTCACTGTGCTTACTGTGCTCACTGTGCTCTCTGACACACTGTACTCACTGTGCACACAGTGTACAGTACACAGCCGTGACAACACATCGCTCACATGTTCGCGAACATTTCATTTATGTAAGACTATTTAGATTTAGATTAACTTAACCAACTCAATGTTTGTTGATAATGTTGATTACGTTCTTGAGGAGCGTTTTAATGAGCGGTACCTCTATGTGGATAAGGTGGTTTACTTTACATTATCTATCATATGGATTGTGGTTTATATTCAAAATTGCATTGTAATGTAAAATAAATGAAAAACAACAATATCAATTGAGTTTTATTTAATAAGTACAGTTTAAATGAAAGAAAAAAATCTTTTTTTTTAATAAAAAAATTTTAGTAAAAAAAAAAACAAAACAAAACCGTCTTCCAAAGTACAACAAAAAAAAAGGAATAAAAAAAATATCTACACTAAAAAGTAACGAAATAATTCCTTGAAAATAGTAAACCTCCCTTATTGTAGCTGTTATGCCTATATTGTACAATTATTATTATTTTGAAGTCTGTGTTAGCCGAAGTATGCAGTGATATTTCTACGTAAGGCATTTCTTCATTTTTACCATAACAGTATGCTGGTATTAACGTTTAAGCATGGAGGTAAAGATAGATCACACTCCTGTTGTATTATAATACAACACAATAATAATAATAATACAACTTGTTCGGTACAGATCGCACGGGTTCGCCACATTCGGTGGCGAACATAATTTTGTATTTCGCGCCCCGGGTTTAGTGCGGGTAAGTGCGCTTATTTATTTTATATATACTTATTTTTCTCGCACGGGCGGGTAGAAGAATAAACCCTCTCCACTACGGACGGGCGCGCGGCTTGCGGAGAGGGGTGCGAGGAAAAAGTCGGAATCGAGCAGCCAAGCAGGACGGTCGCGAACACTTGTGCGGATTAGAGTTGCTTTTTTTATAACGCGGAGACACAACAGGTGTGTCGATTTCGGTAGCGAACGTGGTCGCTAAATTCGGTTTCGCGTTCGAAATTATTAGTACATCTTCAGGCAGCATTGCTGGGCCTATAGACTGGACTGAACCAGACTTTGACTCGATTGACATTGACTGAGACAAGGCACCTGCAGGAGGTGACGCAATTCATCGAGCTGGTGAATACCATTTCCCCATTACGTTTACAATATTATGCCCTCCGGTGAAATCGTAGTTCAAGGGTAGGTTGTGCCGCGGGACCCGAACTCGTTTGTACGGCACACAACTCGAGTGTGTTCTATCTTTACCTCTTGCAGGTAAATAAAGAAAATAAAACCTTATGCATAAGAGTCTTGTTGCACGCAAAATGAAATTGAATCGAGGGGAGAGTGCTACATGTGTCTGCTATTTCCCTTTCTGACAGTGACTTCGAGTTGCCAGATATCAATCTTTCAATGTTTGTAGAAAAATAGGTATTTGATGTAATGCAATGCAGTAAATAAATTTTTACTTTCAAAACGTTTCTACATATTATCATAATAATAATTTATTACCGACAAGTTAAAGCAATTTTATTTGTTGTTACATGTAAAACTTTATTAACGCATAAAATTTGCGATTGGCGTACAGGTTTTCCTTTACCTGTTTGAATACTTGTTTACATTCGAATACCTGGTAGGTAGGTAGGTCGATCCCGTGGCGACCCACACAATGGCCAGGAGGGAATGAAGGGGTTTAGTGAGGTATGCCCCCCACTATGGGGGGAGAGTCCCACATAACTCACGTGTCTGCCCAGAGGCATGGAGTATGCGTAAAGCATTCCCCTTCCAAAAAAAATAAAAAAAAGGTAGGTAGGTCCCCACCAACGGTTCCCGCCTTGTCGTGGCGGTGGGGCTCAGTAGCCGCGGTACGTCGAGGGTCTCCGGACCGCGGTGAAGCCAAGAGGAACCATGCCGGCCGGCTTAGCGGGGCAGGTCACGCCGGTTGGCCAACCGGCTGGTAGGAATATGCGCTATGCACTATGAGTTATGCGCTATTTGCATAACGCGATATGCGATTTACGATTTTCGAGTTTCGAGTTTTCGATAAGCGATATGCGTTATGCGCTATGCGCTATGCACTATGCGCTATGCGCTATGTACATAACGCGATATGCGATTTTCGATTTTCGAGTTTCGAGTTTC